CTTATTCTCATGTATTTCTTTAAAGAAGGTACAATATTTTACCATAATTCTTATTCATTCATCAAAACATACCATTATTACAATGAAGCGTAGTAGAATGTGCGAGGAAATAGTTAAGCATAAGAGTTTACTGCTTGGCTCAAGCGTGCATAGCGCGAACAAGTGTGATTTTCAAAAAGGCTCAAATGGGTTGAAAACATTTCTTTGCTCGTATGACAATAGTGCGAGGTATTTATCAATTTTTGAATGGTACTCGAGTTGCAGTGAGAGTGCTCTTTTGGCTTGAATAAAAAAAGCACGGAATACTTGCTTTTCAGAAAGATTAAAAACATACAGATGTACGTGTTGGGTGAAAGTGCGTGAAGTTTTGAATGGTGATTCAGTTGCTGAATTTTATTTCAGCTTTTATCTTGAACTAACAAATAGCGAGAGTGCTTGCGGTTTGAATCTCTAATTCATAGTGGATTCTAACCCCTACCCAACTGTGCTGACACAAATTTTCCCCCCGTCACCTGATAAGTAAGTAGTTACTTACCAGGTTGCTAGCAAAAACTTCTTTACCCTTCCACCGAAGCATCTTGTACTTGTCATTTATGATATAATGCTTTAAGTTCATAAGAAAAAGGTATGTGTCGAAGACTTTTGCATCAGTCCACGCATTTCCATCGCACACCCGCTTAAACCTAACTAAACTCGTTAATTTTTAGGAGGAGCAGCATCATCTCTTTGTGAAATTTATACTATCAGTCTCATTCTGGTTCTCGTGTTTAGGCCAACTAGGATAATACAACCAAACTTTTTAAATCTTTGAAGTACATTTTTACGCAAGTAAAATTAACAGCTTGCATTTCCTTTTAATTTTTGTCCAATTTTACTCAAGTTGGAATTTGCCCTTAGGCCTGCTGTTCCCGCCATAAAATATAAATTTGTCGGATGTTTCAAGTGTGTTTACAAACGAAGAAAACAATGTCTAGACATGTTCCTTAACAGATCTCTTCCGAATTACTACGAACTACATTTAACTTAGACAGTTTTTCGCTGAAAATGGTATAATCCTTTCATCTATTCAGTGTTGAGTGACAAAAAAGGTATTGGTGTATATTAAAATGAAAAGGTTAAAACGATCAAATAGGAGCCGGATAGTTGTGAATCAAATGGTGGTTCGCAAAAACTGTTTCGCTGAGAAAATTTGTCATTAGGGTACTATGGTGCATTACTCGCACGGTGCTCGATTTTTTTGCACTTTTAGGGCAACGAACTGACTAAAAAGCTTACATCACTAGCCTGGGTAGGGTGGCAAGACGATTAAGTCCAGAAAAGTTGAACTAGGAAAGAGTAATTTGTGATTCATCGACTGAAATTGTTTATCCCATTGATCTCTTCCAGAGATAAATGCAATGGAAGGACATTGGTTCCCTTCTGACAGGACATTTAAACAGCGTCTGTTTTCAAAAGATGAACTCCATTATCTGAACGTAACTCGAATTGGAATATTCACTTCGTACAACCCGTTAGATTGCCTATTTACATGTGTAATAAATACTTTATGCCTCTCAGTAAACATGGCCACCCCCAAAGAAGGAGATGGAAAGCTTTGGTGTGAATTGTTGTCTTCTGATAAGTACAGAGACGCCGAGAACTACAACGAAAACATGAGTTCACATCATTTCTCTACTCTGGTGAGGACTTCTACAAACTGACATTTCATTAAAATTTGAGCACTTCTAGAAAACTGTCTTAAGAGCGGGAAACGCTGATGAAAGAGTCCAAATTGGCTTTAGTTTTCATCCAATCATTGAGAGGATGTTTTGGGTCTTTTTGACCAATTACTGGGAAAGCAAAACTGATGCGATCTGGGATTACTCTCAGCACCCCGTCTAGAATTCTAGATGTATCTAAAGAGAAAAGCACTTGACAACTCTAGGGAGCGATTGAACAAGTTATTTTACTCTAAGTTCTTGCAGTACTGCTTCCCAGCTTAACCATTTAAAAAAAGAGACACCGGCTTCATTATCAAACTACTGTTCAAGCATTTATCGGCATTGATAACAAATATGTTCTTTTTTATCTTAGTCTCCTTGCCCCTCTTCGCTATGTCAAAACGGAGGAACATGCATCCCAAATTACAAATACACTTCTTACAAATGTCTCTGTGAGCCAGGTTTCACGGGAGAGTTTTGCGAGAAAGGTAATATGGGATTATTCCACGAGCTAATCAGTAACACCGTTCTCTAAAATCTTGTTCTGGAGAAAATATTTTATTACATAATCAAGTGATCCTCCTATTTTCCTGTGCCCTGCTTGCTCTTCAGTTTAGATGTCTCTGATTTGTCGCAAGTCCCAACATTACAGATGATAACCCGCTCCACATGTGTAGTTATTCCTTAAATTAAGCTTACAATATTTCTCTTGAGTCAACCAAGTGATGAATAATCACTCAGAAAAAGTAACGATTAAGGTAAAAATATTCGCCTGAAGACGTATACTTCTGTTTTTTTTTTCTTAGACGAGCTCTCAATGCATTTCCGCTATTTCATTTTAAGGATTGAAAAGCTGGTAAATTTCCCGCCCATAAATGTGGGCACCAATGATACACAACACGCGTCAAACTGCAAGGACACTGGGCTTTAAAATGGACAATAGGTGAAGGAAACACTTATTTTTTATCTCCTAGCTTTTACGTCCTGCAAGGAGCTCTATGACTTCAATAGGTAAGTTACAAGCCATACTAGTAGTATCAACATAGAACCTCTTTAGCGTAAATTGACATTGAAAAATGAAGTTATATCCATGTACCTACCCCCCCCGCCCCCATCCCTCGCCACCTCCCTTCAAGGTTGTCCTGCAAAAAAAAAAATGATCCGATTCATTCCTTCCAATAGTACGAAGTGGCAGAAGAGAGAAGGAGGCTTATCCTTATGCAAAAAATTTTTAGATTAAAAAGCAGACGTATATTTCTGATGCTGGGACTAGGATAGTCATAAAAATCCATTAACTTCCTGTCATTGATCCCTTGTAAATAGGCCCAATGTCAGTGAGCTTGTTACCCTCCGCCTGGAGTTTAAACCAGTCACCATTCTCTGTCACATGGGAGATTTTGGATGCGGAAATGGAGGATGGACGCCGGTCATGAAGATTGACGGCACCAAGGTAAGATTAGTGTTCATTTAACTGGTCAATAGGTCTCAAAACCAGGAGAGAAGCCTGTTTATTGAGAAAAATACGCCGCTTTATTATCCAACTGTGCTTCGTGGAGTAGAAATAACGCCCAAAACGAGTACAAATATCTCGTGGCATTTGTACTTCAGAGAACCGGTTAGACAGGTATTCTCGCATCGTGAAAGCCACGAAATGGATTAGAGTGAGGAAAAAAAAATGGCGGAAAATTTAAATTATTTTTTTGACGACGAAGAATCTGAGTAGCTGACAAGTATCGATCAAGTTTATGGGATATATCGAACGAAGAAAAGCAGTTAGACGACAGTGAAATTTCATCATTTATTGAAGAAAATAGAAACAGTCCGCTTCGCAGACTCCTGTCACGCACTCCCGGTAAATAAATATCCGCGAAATTCATCCGCACTGGAATAAGGATTTGGCGTGTTGGATAATAAGCCTCTCACTAAACGTTTTGTTCTGTAGTATCGCTAAGTATTTTTACTCGTTGCTTGTATATTGACACGCCCTAGCGGTACTACACCACAAAAAGTTTGATAAGATATGTGTACTAGTGAGGTACGCATTCAAGTGGTTTCCACCAATCAAGAAATGTTTGCCTGAATCGTGCTTGGAAATTGAATAAGTGCAAATTCTAGAATGCCGGAATCTTTCTTGACGATATGGTCTTCCATGCCAATGGCTCTGGATAAGTGCAAGTGATCAACATTTTAAATAGCTCGGGTAGATAGAGCTAGTAGAAACAAGTGATTCCCCTTCAATTGCAACCTTGTGTTTGAATAACATGGATTTAATTTCAATCCAAAAACCGGCTAAACTGAGTGAAAGGTCTCAGAAATTATTTTGTCTTAGCAGAACACCTTTCATTACAACAAGACCTACTGGAGTAACAAAATTGAATACAACCTTCCTGGAGGGGAGTCTGGCTTTGATTCACAGGAGACAAAGTTACCGACCTACTGGAATACACCCTTCTCCAAGGTTTGCCTCGGTATGAAGATTGGACAACACGTCAGGTTCACTGTCATTAACAAGCAGGCCGACTCTTTGTACTCACTGATCGCTGACGGTCAGTACCGCGCCACATCATTAGGTCGAGAAACGTGGAAGGATCTGATTGGTTCAAATGCCTCCTTGCAGTTAAACTGTAATAAGGAAGGATTCAATACTGGCAATCTTCACCGTCATAGCAAATACCATTCTGAAGCAAGAATTGGCATCGTTGCTAACCAGGAGGATAACTGCAAAAGCTGTGACTCCTGGATTGGGTTCGGTACAGGGGGGTATCACGAAGACGCTGTGACGTGTGGTAACGTTGCAGAAATAGAAGGAGATAACGGAGCCAGGCGTACTCCAGCCATGGGGTACATACTGGTGCAATAATACCTATACTCTCAAAAGGAAGCAGCTCAAATAGATATATTATTTATTCAATAGAACCTCCCCATGAGGCTTTTTAGTCACTGGGGACCTTAAGAAACCACGACGGCGACGGCAACGAGGACGTGGAAAAACAAGAGATGTAATTGGCAGAACAATAGCTCAGCAAGTGCGTTTTGAAACTTTGTACATTTCTTAGCCGTCCTATGCAAAACAACAACGTGAAATCGCCAAAATTTGCGTCGTCTGGGAACCGAAAGCGCGACTGCAAATTATTTTAATTTCCATTTTGAACTCAACGGCTACTTTATACCTCATGCTGAGGCTGAGCTGTGGCGCTGAATGAGACAGTAAGCTCCTGCAGCCATTTTTGAAATTCTAACTAAGAGTAGAAATTCATTTTTTAATCGAAGGCTTCCTTGGCGTCGCCGTCGTGGTTTCTTGAGGTCCCTAGTATCTACATGCGACTGAAATTAAGATATATTAAAATGAAATAAGTGATTAGAAGAGAATGTATCTTAAGTAAGTTTTTCAAAAACTTTGAGCGTGGAGCAGGCTCGTCTTCTAGGCTGATCCAGATGTTAACAGCTCCGTAAGTAAATGCTCTTTGACCAGCAGCCGTGTTAAACTGTGGTATTTATAGGTGCCACTGTACTCACAGTAGTTCTGCCAAACAGAAATACCTTTTCTTCAGTTATTTCATAGTTTATGACTGTAGAGGTCATATGGAAGGTATACTCTCGTTGCTTGCACGGATTCACATCTTCAAGACCACCTGAAGCCCTCGTGTAATGCTAAGCTGTTTGATATATGATATTCTAGTTCTAAAACCTCCGAAGCGGAAGAAACAAATGTCTAACTATGTGCCTGCGGTGTTCTCCACCGAAGTTCGACATACGAGTATGTGCACTTCATCATTTTTTACTTGAGTTTCCTATCGCACATGAATGGTACTTTAAAAGTTACGCCCTCAGTCGCTTCTGCGTATTACCTTCTCCGTTTCCCTAGCTAGTTTCGAGCCCGCAATGCAGTTGGCCGCGAATTCTCGAAGTCCCTAACAAAGTTTGGTTTCCACCAAATTTTTTCGGCTTGAAGGGTACACTATGAGCATTTCCTCCTTTTCGGCGAAGTCCGTCGCGGGAGTGAAAAAAAAAACCACAATCATTGAAAAAAAATTGCTGTAAGCGCGCCACGGAGAACTCTTGAAGTGACGCCGATGCACCGCAGGAGCACCACGGGTGGGGCGCTCGAAAAGTAGGGACTGCGGACTAAGCCCGAGAATTTGACCTTGCACGGCTAAGTGGTTTTAAGGTGTCAAATTTTAATTCCAATTAGGCGTAACCAATGACACTCGTCTTCTTAATAACCAGGCAATCTTCTTGTCATCGCAACACACGGGTGTTAATAGAGAATTAAACCATTTCAAATTTCGAGGCGCACATTAAACTGGAAATCTGAAGAATGTTTCAGTAAGATTGACTCTCACGAACAGATTCCCAAGAAGATAATTAGGAACGGCAGGCCGGTCAAGGAACCATCTCGAAACGACTTTTGCTGTTTATGTGCTTTAAATTTTTCTTCAGAGATAGCATTAATGCAGTCCTTTCTGATAACTGAACTACTGGAAGGTCAATTTAGTTGAGTTTGCCGACTTGTTCCATCGCGATGCTGTTAAGCGGTGAAATTACAAGGATACACGCTTTAGAGTAACAAAACACCTTTCGAAAGTCGTTTAGAAAAATTGATAGAGCTTCTTTTCCAGCAGTAAGAGCTTCCAGCGCCTCAGTCTGCTTTTATTTCAGCGCACAAACTATCGGAAACTGCATTCAACATTCCTGCAGCTCATCATTCACCTGAAGCGTTGACAAGCATTGACAAGTATGATCGCTAGTTGACAGATTTCCGGCCGATGACCAGTCAAATTTTTGTGTTGTAAGCGCAATGCATAATTCAAACTCTTGGGCTTAGTCCGTAGTCTCTACTTTTCGAGCGCCTCAATCATGGAGCTCCTGCGGCGTATCGGTGTCACTTCAAGAGTTTCCCGCGGCGCGCTAACATAATAGTTTTTTTCGTTATACTTTTTTGACTCGCGTGATGGACTTTGCCAAAAAGGACGGACTGTTGGTAGTCTACTTGATGGGTCTCTGTTTTTGCTACTACCATTTTCTATGAGTATGGAGCTACGCTGCGCGCGCCTCACGCCCTGGAAGCCCCGCTATAATACGTTAGATTTTGTGAGTTGTGTTCTAATGTGAGCAATCTGAGCAATGAGAAAAATTTCCGAAGGACATTGGCTGGATCGAAATGATCTGTTTGCTTTATTTATTCAAAGCAAGCAAAAAAGCGTCAAGGGCGAAAATGGGATTGACAGAGAAGAATTGTCTCATGTTAGGAGATAACGGGCCAATTTGGAAATGGAGAAGACTCAAATCAATTTGGTAATATCAACTGAGTTGAATCTGTAAATTGGCCACCGTATATAGTTTAGAAAGCTAACTTTTTGAGCGTTAGCCCTTCGTCAGAGCGAATGGAGGAATTGTGGGTTGTGTGTGGGTTTATATGCAGAAAGTGGAGCTACGCTATCGGTGGGAACATGGCGACGAGAAAAACACGAATAAATTAGTAGAATGAAAAGCGTTCGTTGATACCTGTGGGATTAAGAGTGCCGATTTGAAAGATAAACTTTTGTTCAAGAGTTCTGCGGCTTTTCGAGCTACCTAAATGTAAGGAAAGACCGCAGATTCCCATATGTTGCATAGAATGATTAGGTAGATTAAAGTGTATGGCGACTGATTTTGATGCGTCCTTGTCATTCCTTTCTACGTCGCGAAGGTGTTCTCGGAGTCGGTCACCTAGTCGTCTTCCTGTTTCGCCGACGTATAACTTTCTGCAATAAGTGCAAGTTATACAATAAATGACGTTGGCTGAGGTGCACGAGAAGTGATCAGTGATCTTAATGGATCGTTTGGGTCCCGATATTTTTTCAGCGTTCTGAATGAAAGGACAAGTTTTGCATCGTGCGCGAGCGCATTTAAAAGTGCCGGGTTGGTCGTTAGTTTGTAATGAGCTTCTGACCAAAAAATTGCCTGTTTTTGTCGCGTTTGAATGAAATGAGTGGAGGTTGCGAAAAGATAGTGCCAGTCTCTGGATCGTTTTCAAAGTTTTTAAGAATAATGGATTTAACTGAGTGGCTGTGTGGGTGAAAAGTGAGAGTAAATGGAATGCGGTCGGAATTTTCCTTCCGTGACGTTCGTAATGCCGACTGTTGATCAATAATAAAGGCTGAACTTCATATATTCATTGTATCTGAAAGGCTGATAAGTTGGGCGCGGTAATGACCCGCTTGAACGACAGAAACAGGGTAACCACGTTTTCGAAAAATTGGCACATAGACTCTGATTTGTGAAAAAAATCAGTCATCACTACATAAACGACGAAGTCTTAGAAACTGAGAATAGGGAATAGAATTCTTCACGTGAGATGCATGCGAAGATGAGTACAACAAGTGACTATGTGAATCTGCAGGTTTGTAATACACACTAGTACATAAACCGTTGCCTTAAATTGAGACTTTGATGTCTAATATGGATAAAGAATTGTCGGAAATTTCCCAGGTACATCTTAGAGCCGGGTGAAAGGAATTGACTGCCGTTATGAATTGATTTTTTTAAAAGAGGTAGCGCTGAGACAATGGGCCGACCCGGGTTGTTAGGTTTTTGAATTTTAGGTAAAATAGTAATAGTAATAATAATAGTAATAATTTATTTAAAGTCAATTACACAGGGAGTGGTTGCCCAGGTCTCCCGAGCCAGAGGCTCATGACAAAAGTGATTGACAGAGAAAATATAAAAAGCATTATGCATATACAATATTAAAAAAAAAGTTATTCGATAATAAATATAATATATAATGTAATGAGTTGATGCAATTTATGTAGTGGTGACAAGTGCTGAGAATAATCGTTGGAAACGATAAATATCAAATTGAACAATTGTTGCCTTGGCAACCAGGAAAATCGAGCTTGCTAATTGATCTACGAAAAATTGACACATTTTCAGCAGACTTTGCTGACGAAGGTAACTGATTCCAAATTCGAGAAAAAATATGTGAAAAGGAGTTGTGCATGAATTGAGTACCGTAAGATTTCTGTTCAACATTATGGCCTCTGTTAAGTAAATTATAAGTTAGAATGCGGGGTTTAAAAAAATTACTAATGTAATTTGGGCCATTTTTCTTGAAACATTTAATAGATATGACGAGCGATTGTTCTATGCGTCTATTTGATAATGATCTCATGTCGATTAATTTAAGGGCAGATTCATAAGACACTGAGTTATTTAAGTTTAAAACTGTTCTGAGACCATAATGGTTTGCCTTTTCTAGTTTATTACTTAACGTTATTGTAAGACCATTGAAAAGAGGATTGCAATATTCGAAATGAGGTAGGATAAAGCTTCTGTAGAGAGCTATCATTGTGTTCCTTGGTACTAAGCGTTTTATGCGTCTCATTGCCCCTATTTTTGCAGAGAATTTATTTAGGACATCCTTTATGTGTTCCTGGAAAGATAGTTTATTATCCAACTTTATCCCCAGGATCTTGAGGTGGTCTTCAGTTTCAATAGCACTGTCTTCGAATAGAAGTTCATAGTCGTACTTTGATTTACCCATCATTATTCCTTGCATTTTCTCATCGTTAGATTTCAGGAAATTTTCTTTTAGCCAGCTGGAGAGTATGGTCATGTCTTGGTTCATGATGTATTGTAAGACTATTGGGCTTGTGTTGTAAGCATAGTGCGTTATATCATCTGCGTAGAGGCTAGGAACGAAGATGAAATGAAGTCGTTTATATCATTAATGTATATGCTGAACAGCAAGGGGCTTAGAAGGCTTCCCTGAGGTACTCCGCATTTGAGAAGGGACCAGTCAGATGTTTTGTCTTTGCATTTTACTCTCTGTTTTCGCTCATCTAGTTATGCTTGTAACAACCTAAGCGCAGAGTCTTTGAAGCTGTAAGCTTTTATCTTTGCTACGAGAAGGACGTGACAGACGCTGTCAAATGCTTTGGATAAATCAATTCCTACTGCTGCTACATCGTTTCTTTCGTCGAGTGCAGTTCTCTAGTCGTCTGTAAGTTTAATCAGAGCAGT